GAGTTCCACTTAGGCCCTGTGAGGGAGTTTCAGGCATGAGGGAGTACCTGACTAGAGTTACCCTCTCACAACACAGACATAAAATCAGGACAAAATATAAAATAAAATATAGATAATATAAATTATATATAAAACTATATAACTATATATAAATGAAGAGCAACCAATGCAGATTCTCTCTCTCTTTTTTTTTTTTTTTTTGGTACTGGGGGTTGAACTCAGGGGCACTTGGCCACTGAACTACATCCCCATCCCTTTCTTTATATTTTATTTAGAGACAGCGTCTCGCTTCGTTGCTACGGCCTCACCAAGTTGCTGAGGCTGGCTTTGAACTCATGATCCTCCTGCCTCCACATCCCAAACTGGTGGGATTACAGGTGTGTGCCACTGTGCCCGGCCCAATGCAAGTTCTTCAGAGATGATCCCTACATTTACCTAGGTGTTTTTCTGAGAGCATTTTCTGAAGTATGGTCTGAGGAGGTAAAGCCAAGACAGGGACCAGCAATCTTAATGGTCATGGGAGTCTGAAGGTCATGGCTGCTGGTGTGACTGGAATTTGAGAAGAAAGCAAAATGGAGAAAGCCATAGGCCAGGAGCCTGAAAGTCTCCAGAAAAACGCTCCTGAAGTGTTTAGCCACCTGCTAGGCTGTACATGAGCAGCAAATAAGATGTTCTAGCAGATAACAGCTTCTAGAAGGTAAGGGCTGTCAGATAAATTCAGTTGCAAGTTCCGGGGAGGGGAGACATTGGGCCTGGCCAGAGTGGAGAAGGCTCGACGCATTCTCCAGTTATTCAGTGGAGACTCCAGAAAAGCATCATGTTAGGAATAACCCAAGRATAATCCACAGAGTTAGCAGATAAGGACTTTAAAACAACTATGRATCATATGTTGAAGAAAACATTTAAAAGAGAGACAAAAATAAAGTGACTCTACAAGGGAATTATAATCTTTAAAAAATGAAGTAGACACTCTGATAGGCAACCTCTGCTATGGTCCCTAATAATCCCCACTTCCTGTTTGATGCCTTTATGGAATCCCACCTTTTGAGTGTGGTATGCATTGACAGATTCACTTCAGCATAAAATGTGGCAGAAGTGAGATGTCACTTCCAAAATAAGATCAAGACTGTGTTTCCATCTTGGGTGCTCATGCTTATTCTCTGAATGCCTGCCATTGAGTAAGAGGTGCCCTGTCATCAGGTAATTCTGTGGAGACCCACGAATTGTGACACCATGTGGTGAAAAGCAGGACCTGCCACCAATGATGTGGATAAGCTCAGAGGTGGATACCCTTACCACTCCGGCACATGTTCTCCTCCCCCACCACAGCTGATCCTTCAATGAAACCATGGTGCCAGCTGGCTGCAACTGAGGGGCTCATGAGGGACCTTTCACCAGAGGAACCCGGTTAAGCCTCACCTGAGTTTCTGATAGGAACAGTGAGATATTTTTTAAAAAATTTTAGTTGTAGATGGACACAATACCTTTATTTTTATGTGGTGCTAAGGATCGAACCCAGTGCCTCACAAGACGTAGGCAAGTACTCTACCACTGAGCTTGCAACCCCATAATATTTGTTTTGACTGCTAAATTCTGAGGTTTTTTGTTTAAAGAAATGGGTAATATAGACATTCCAGAACACAAAGCACAACAGCTGATATTAACTCATTAGGTGGGTTTAACACAATGGACACAGCAGGAAGTAGAATTAATGTGAGGAACAGGTAAAAGATGCTATGGTGGTAATAAGTACTATTCCCTCATACAGAAGTCTGGTAATTTTTACCATTCCTACATACAGACACATGCTATGTATGAAATACACTACCTTGACAGAATATTTGAAAGAGTTTAAAGATGTCACTTCTTTTATTAGCACATTAAAGTTATATGTGGTCTTGGGTTCCTTTTGACAAAATCATGCTGCTTGGACTTATTTATTCCACTTTAGTCTCAGTTTCACCTTTTCCCTCTCCTTCRCCCTCCCCATTCTCCTTCCTCTACTGTTCTTTCACTCATTTATTTTTGACTGGTGCTTTCTACATATAAAGGTGGAATTCCCTGTGGTATATTTATATATGCACATAATGTAACTTTGTTAAATTCATTCTGCATTTCCCCCCTTTCTAGTTCCTCCTCTCTCCCTATCTCCTTCTATTCCACTGATCTTTCCTATATCGTTATGATATCTCATCTCCCCCTCTTTTGCTCTGGCTTATTTTGATCCAGCCTCCACATGTGAGAGAAAACATCTGACCCTTGTTTCTGAGTCTGGCTTATTTCACTTAGCATGTTCTCCATTTCCATCCACTTACCAGCAAATGCCATAATTTCATTCCCCCCCCATTCTTCTTTATAGTTGAGTAAAATTCCATTGTGTGTGTGTATGTGTATCACATTTCCTTAATTTGTTCATCTATTGGGCATCTGGATTGGTTCCATTATTTGACTATTGTGAATTATGTTGCTATAAACATTATGTGACTGTATCACTATAGTATGTGATACTATAGTTCTTTTGGATAAATACAAAGGAGTGGGATAGTTGAGTCATATAGTAATTCCACTTGAATTTTTTAAAGGAATTTCCATACTGCTTTCCACCAATTTGTAGTTGTACTAATTTGTAGTTCCACCAACAATGTATGTGTAATTTTCCCCCCACATCCTCACCAGCATTTATTATTACTTGTATTTTTGGTAATTGCCATTCTGACTGGAGTGACATGAAATCTTAGTGTAGTTTTGACTTGTTATTTCCCCGATTACTAAAGACGATGAACATTTTTCATGTATTTGTTGGCCATTTGTGTTTCTTCTTTTGAGAAGTGTCTATTTAGTTGTTTTGCCCATTTTTTGACTGGGTTATTTGACTTTTTTGTGTTAAGTTTTTGAGTTCTCTATATATTCTGGATATTAACCCCCTGTCAGAGGAGTACTGGCAAAGATTTTCTCCCATTCTTTAGGCTCTCTTTAAAGATGTTATTTCTTTATTCAAAGTAATCTCAATCAAAATCTTTATAAAATTATTTTTTAAATTGACAAAAAAAAGTGAATGGAATAGTTGGGGATGTAGCTCAGTGTGGTACAGCACTTGCCTGGTATGAGCAAGGACCTTGGTTAGTGCCTCAGTACTGCATTAATAAATAAATAATTTTACTCACTGAGGATATAAAGCAGTGTATAAATCAGAGCTGGGGTTTGATAACAAGCATCAAAAAAGGAGAAAAAAGATTGCCAAAAATATTTGAAAAATAAGACTTGTTTAGGAATATCAAAACATACCTAAATCTTGAGCAATTAAAATTGTTGGTATAAACTAGAGAACATCAATGGACAGAAACTGATGCTTGTGTTTATAGCTCCTTGAATATGATAGAGGTATACCATTTTGATTGTGTGATAAAAAAAATTCTCAGTGATTAACATAAAATGGTAATTTTTTAAAAAGTATTAATAAAAAAGAACATATTTGTAATCTTGAGGTAGGAAAGACAGTCTTAAATAAGATGTAAAATACTCAGTTTATTATTATTAATTATTATTATTATTATTTGCAGGGCTGGGGATCAAACCCAGGTCCTAGCATTCAGTAGGCAAGCACTCGATCACTGAGCTACAACCCCTTYCCCATATATTAATATATAAATTTCTATATTTAGCCAAGTACATTCATTCACTCCTGTAATCCCAACTACTGAGAAGCCTGAGGCAAAAGAATCAGGAGTTCAAGTCCAGCTTGGGCAACTTAGCTAGATTCTGCCTCATCAACAAATAAATTTCTATAAAACAAAGCCATAAACAAAACTGAAGAGAAAAAATAAACAGGATATATGAAAGCCGGGACAGTGGCACACGCCTATAATCCCAGCAACTCCASCAACTCGGGAGATCCCAAGATCAAGGCCAGCCTCAGCAATTTAGGAAGACCCTCAGTAACTTGGCAAGACCCTGTCTCAGAATAAAAAAGGGATGGGGATGTAGCTCAGGGGCAAAGCGCCCCTCAATTCCTGGTACAAAAATAATAATGAAAAAAAAAAACGGAGAAAGATTGGGCGATGCAGGATCCTACCCAAGCCAGTTGGGGTCCCACAGCTAAACTCAGCCTTGTCCTTTCTCCCTTCCCCAGTACTTCCAAGGTGCCTGTTACTGAATCTTCAGAAAGACAGAGAGACGCCTACAGGGGAGTCGGGCAGGGAGGCAACTTAATGTGGCAGGTGGAAAGTGCACCATCTGTTTCCTCACCAGTAAAATGGGGATGCTCACAGTACCTGTCTGGCCTATGAGGTTAAACTAACTAGAAAATCCAGTGCACCGCCTGTCATGTTGTWAGCTGTTACTTTTTCCGTTACAGTTCGAGGTTCTCCTTGGTGTTCTGCGAGAAAATGCCAGCAGGCAGCTTCCCAAAACGGATGACTTAAGGTTCTTTCCAGGTTTCTTGCTCAGGTTCCTGGGTTGCTTCTGGGCGAGACCCACGGCTTGGGATGTCAAGTCCTTGTCTAAAATGGAGTGATGCTGTGACCTACCTCCCAGGGCTCAGAAGTGCCCAGAAGCTAAAGCCAGGAGGCGCTCTAACATCTACCGCGCACCGGAAGAACTGATTTTTAGGAAAATAAATCAGCGAACAACCTGTTGCTGCAGAAAGCCGCCACGGTCCAGCCCGGGCGCCTGTATCTACCTCAGACGTCCCCTCACGGTCCTGCTACCCACGCCCAAGCAGTCGACGGGAAACCTGGAGCCCGCGCGCCTAGAAACGCTGCAACTAGGCTCTTGCACTCAGTCCAAGATCCCGAAGCAGTTTCCTGGCGCCCGACMGCCTTTCGGAGCYACAATTCAGCAGCCCAACTGCGGAGCCGCATTTCTGCCAATCAGCGTGCGCCGTTCCCCGAGCCCGGCTACTCCCGCTGAAACAGAGGCTCCCAGCCAATCGGAGAGCCCCGGAGCCGTCCTCCTGCCTACCAGCAGGGGGCGTGGCGTCTCATTGTAGCCAATGAGGACGACATCCACGCACGCGCGCGTGGGAGGCGGCGCCTCAGCAAGATGGCGGCGAGCAGCSTCCGCGGGGCTGTTGCAGCGGCCAGCACCTCCGTGAAGCCCATTTTCAGTCGGGACATGAACGAGGCCAAGCGGAGAGTGCGCGAGCTCTACCGCGCCTGGTATCGGGAGGTGCCAAACACTGGTGAGAGGCAGCGGCGCAGGCGGGGCCCCGGATGCAGCTGCCCAAGGTCTCACGACCGAGCCGAGGTCACTAGCTTGGGCAGAGGCGACTGTGGGTGCTTCAGGGGAAGAGGGTCACTCGAGCTAAGGTGGACCCGACCTGAAGGCAGCGCCGAGGTCAGACCAGTCGTTCCTAGCATCCTACAGAGGTTCCAGGCGCGCTCGGCGCTCTGGTGTCCTGTCTCCTAGTTCTTCCCGAGGCCTAGAGGGAGAGCAGGGACTGTCGGTGACAGACTCATTATGCAGATGAGGCACCTGAGGGCACCGAGAGGCGAAGCGAAGCGTTCTGGCCCGGAACCCAGAGTCAACTCTAGTTCCAAAAGGCAGTTTCAGACACCCATTGGGTTTTATAAACAAAGTGGCCATAGGATTCGGGCAGTCATCCAGTTCCTGTCACCACCAGAAAGTGAACCAGAGAAGGGAAGTGATTTTCCCAAGGTCGTCCGGTAAGCCAGCGACTCCTTTTCCAGTCTCTTCAGGCTAGATGGCTTCCTTGCCCTCCAGTCTCCCAAGACTTGCYGGTCTCCCCACTTCTACCGCAGAACCCCTTCCTTCGCCCAGATGGCAGAGATTCAGTCCGTTTAGCTGAAGGATTAGTATGTAAACTCCCTGTGTGCAGAGCTTGTTTTCTTATCTTGATTTCCCCCGGCTGCCCACTTTATTTTATCCAATAAAGACTGGGGAAAATCCCACCTAAACTTCCAGGGGTAGTACAACTGTGGGACTGTCCATGCTTTGTTATCTTGTTGTTCTTAGTGTGTTTTAACTTGGACCTTCCCTGCTAGTCTGAGGGGTAAGGCATGTTTGAGTGAGTTGGGAGCATTGTAGCACTCTCAGAGCTGACACTTCCCTATCTATGAGAAGCAGCAGAATGTGGAGATTAGAATAAGCCTGCACTCATCTCCAGGCTCTGCCCTTTAGTAGCTCTGTGACCTTGGGCAAGTTATTTCATCTGTGTTTCAGTTTTCTCATCTATAAAATGGGGGTACTGATAGTATCTTCAGAGAGTTACTGTGTTAGGTTAATATATCCAAAGTGCTTAGAACAGGGCCTGACACTTGGTTAACACTTATTAAGTTATTGGCTACTGTTGTTTTTATAGGGCTTACCCTAGAAGGAGCTTCCATGTAGAACCCAGTTCTTTAATGTGGGAACTGTGCTCCACAGTCCCTGTCCTCAGACTGACTTTTTGAGAGATTGCTAGTGACCTTAATTTAAACCCACCTGAAAGAGAGGAACTAAGGAGGACATGACATGGCTGAGKTGAAGATGGAACCCAGGTATTGCAAGTGTCAGGACCCAGCTCTTTCTAAATCATCCCTTTCCAGGATCTTCCTTCAAATGCTGTTTGGAGAGAGAATCCCAGAGTCAGAAGGGGCCTGAGAGGGGAAAAAGAAGGTAGGGGTTAAGGAGCCTAGAAAGCAGGGTCAGAATGGGGGGCAGGGAGTGGTCAAGGGAGCAAAGGTCAGACCTATAGGGAAGGTCAGTAATCTGTAGCTGGTCAGTTACTTAGATGCTACACTGTCATGCATCACTGGAACTCCAGCTAAATAATCAAATCAAGGATTGGGAATAAATAATAGAATTGATGATGATTAACATTTATTGAAATGTTTACATATGGCCCAGAACAATGCTAAAGGCTTTACATTGCTTTATTTTAAGTCAGGCTTTGTTTCCTGCCTTACAGATGAGAAAACTGAGGCACACAGACTTGTCTGGGGTCACACTATCAATGAGTGGAAGAGCCAGTTTTCAGACCCTGATTATTCAACTCTAATATGTGGCTCTTGGAGCTTGGGGTATATATAGCTCAGTAGTAGAGTGTGAGCTTAATATATATGAGGCCCTGGGTTCAATCCCCAGCACCAAAAAAACTGGCTCTGAATGCCTACTGTATTTTCTCTGAAGCTTCTGGGATCCACTTTGGCATGGGAGCACTAGGACAGAACTGCCTTTGAATCCTTTCTTTGAAAAAAAAAAAAAAAACTATGCTGCTTGCTGGCCAGAAGATATCAGGAGGCTTTCTACAGAAAATTCATTGATTTATTCTGCATTTCACTGGGCACCTCTTGTACTGTAGGGTCAATACTAGATACCTAGAATGAAACAAACGTGAATAAAACACTTTTTGTTCACCCACAAGGCCTTCAGGATCTTGTGGTCAAGTGATGAAGGTAGGCACATAACCAGATAATTTCCTGGTGTATCATGGAAGTGGCAGGGGAAATGCTGAAAAATTTTAACAGCCAACATTTGTCTCATGCTTTACTGTTTACAAAGTGCTGTTCCTTATTCTCTACCATATTCCTATACAGCAATTAGATTAGAGGTTATTTCCTTTCCTATAGAGAACATAGGCAAGAAGGTATACCTCAGACCAAAATTGGAATGTCTTTCTCTAGGAATGTTCATACTGATGTTGAGGCTTTACCCAGCCTGTTTGACCCCTGCCCTTGTGTTCTTTTCCCTTATACCATGCTGCCTCGAATCAAAGGATCACCTGGTGTGAATGATACCAGAATGAACTGCAGCAAGGCTGACAGTTGTATCAGTGTCATCCTCCCTGATCTGTCAGGAACCTCGGAAAAGCCTTACTAAGTTTGGAAAGCAGACTGGAAAAGTCATCTTTCATCCAAAAGAGATTCTTACTTATCTTTTGAGCCTCTCAAATGTAAATGTTCACTATTTAAAGAATAAGCCAGGAGTCTGTGAGTTGAAAAAGAACAGTTGGAATTGATTTATATCAGGGCTTCCCAACATTTGCGCTAGATAGTTTATTGTACAGGGCTGTACTGTGCATTGTAGGCTGTTGAACAATATCCATGGCATATACCTATTAGAAGCCAGTAGCATTCTCCCCTTAGTGTGACAATCAAAAATGCCTCTAGACATTACCTAATGTTCTGGGGGGTAAGATCATCCCTGATTTGAGAACCACTGATTTAGACCAAGTTCAGCAGACTAGAGCTAGGCTGTTTTCATTTGATTTCCTTCAGCCTTTCTCACTGGTGAAGGGTTGTGTTCAGTTGGCTGGGATGTGAGGACGGCGCCTGGGACAAAATTGGAATGTCTCTCTYTAGGGAAGGGTTCCCTGGGGAGATGGGCACTGAGGAAGGGGAACTGATGGGTACCAGCTCCCATAAGTATCCCTGGAAACATTGCCTCTTAAGGTTGGCAGGAATTTGATATAAAAGTGTAGAAAAGGCAAGCACTGAAAGCAGAGAAAGATTCCTCGTATTTCTCCTCTTAAATGAGCACAAGATTGTAGGTGAAAAAACAAAGCAACAACAACAAAAAAAACCCACCTGGATTCTAGGCCCTTATTTTCCAGGAACACTTGTATATGATTCCCACAGTGCTCGTGCCTGATTTTTCCTGAAAGAGAAGATTCTGAATCCCAGGTCTCATACTAGTTTTCATTTGTTTTTGCATCTCTTTGTCATCCTATTGTACTTTTCTGTGCTTTTTGGTGAAATCCCTAATGTGATAAAGGGATGACCAGCTTTCTTGAGGGTGGAGGGGTGCAAAATTTATACACGCTACAGTTTACCATTTCCTGTGGTATAAATATTCCCACCATGGTTGATTATAAGCTACCAAACTGAAGGCAGATTTGGGAAGTGATTACAAAATTGGCTGTCCTTAATGACCTGCTCCAGGACAACACTGGATACTTCAATGAGTGATCATCTCTATCATTAACATTAACATTTATTTACCTGTCAAGCTGGGATGCCAGTTTTGTTAGATATCTGCTATTACTTATTCTATGGTCAAAGAAACCTTGTTTTCTTTGCAACATGGCATGTTATTTCCTTGGCAGAAGCTTTATTCTCCATGGCTGTCGCTAAGTTATGAGTATGATGAGATAGCCCTCATAAGTTTTCAGAGTTAGTTGTGATAGTTCTGTAGATCAGGGTGGCCAAGCCCCAGCATTGGCCTCAACACAAGGCATCCTCACCCAGTAAGTATACAGTACTAGTTCTAGCCTGTCAGCCTTGCTTGCTGTCCCACCAACCTACTGGGCCTCACCCTGTCTGTATTCCACCTGGCTCACAGGGGCTATTCATAGCTGTTACCAGCACTCCACGGAAATTGGCTGAGTGCCAGGGGGTGAGAATACAAGTGACTGAAACCTAATTTTCAAAGGACATCCACATGCCTGTGTGCCATACAAACTTGAAAGTCTGTCACTATTTTAGGTGCTAACTTAAGGGATTGGGAATATTATGATTTTATGTTGGCAGTCATGGATGACTGTTCCTCTAATCAGAATTTAATACCTAGAGAACTGGAACTATATCTTCTGTCCTTCTTCCAAGAAACCTGCTTGTTGGATTAAAGCCTTCCGTACCTGCAGAAACCCTTAAGCAATCTCTCTCAATTCCCAAGTTCATGTGGTACTAAAGCCCATGCCACATTATTTTACATAAATTTCAACCCTGTCACCATATTGTACAGATTGTTCCATATAAAAATACTGCTAATTCTCAGGTGTGGCTCAGTAGTAGAGCACTTGCCCAGTATGAACAAGGCTCTGAGTTCAACTGTCTGCACCACAAAAAAGAAAGGAAAAGCTGGGTATGGTGGCATGTGCCTCTAGTCCCAGCTACTCAGGAAACTGAGGCAAGAGGATCACAGGTTTGAGGCCAGCCTGGGCAATTTAGTGAGACCCTGTATTAATAATTTTATTTATTTGTTTTTTTAAAATATTTACTTTTTAGTTTTAGGTGGACACAATATTTTATTTTTATGTGGTGCTGAGAATCGAACCCAGTGCATGCATGCTAGGCAAGCTCGCTACCACTTGAGCCACATCCCCAGCCCCTGTATTAATAATTTAAAAATATATATTTTTTTAGTTATACATGGACTCGATATCTTTATTTTGTTTATTTATTTTTATATGGTGCTGAGGATTTAACCCATGGTCTCACACGTGCGAGGTGAGCACTCTACCGCTGAGCCACAACCCCAGCCCTGTATTAATAATTTTGCTAACATTTATTGGGAGTCAACTCCATGTTAGGCACTGCTGTAAGCATTTTATATCTCACAGCATCACAACTCTAGAGTTATGCATCTTATTGTCTTGTTGTCTCACTTCACTGACAGACTCAAGCACAAAGTTGTTAACTTACACAGAATCACATAGCTGACAACAGCAGCTGGGATTTGAACCCAGGTTGATCACACTCTTCAACTGTGCTACATACTGTTTCTTCAAATGCTGTGGTCTTGTCTCCTGAAACAAAATGTAAACTCATTGAACCATGTCTCACACATCCTCACGTCCTCAAGCAACTAGCTGAGGGTTAGTTAGGCTGACATTTGGTGCACGGAATGAATGCACAATCTGTATGTGTTCAGTGAACATCCACTGACTTTAAGTTTTTAAAAACTATTTTAGCTGTGTAATTTCTATCCCAAATCTTGTTTTCTCTTTAGTGCACTTATTCCAGCTAGACATCACTGTGAAACAGGGACGGGATAAAGTCCGAGAAATGTTTATGAAGAATGCCCACGTCACAGACCCCAGGGTGGTTGATCTTCTGGTCATTAAGGTAACTGACCTTCCCAGACCAGCTTAAAGGACTGGCCAACTTGTCCCAGGCGTTTTCAGTTTCCCCAGATGAACATTTTGCCTCCAAGTTAAAAAAATAACTACTGGTTCAGCAACTATTGCTGTTTCAGAGGAGTACTTGAACTTGGAGGTTATCCCCTGATTAAATAGACTAAGATTGCTGAAGGGAAAATCTTCTGGGGGGTTCCATTTTAAAACCAAGAATCACCAATGTGGGAGGCTGAAGCAGGAGGATCACAAATTGAAACCTGCCTGGGCAACTAAATGAGACCTGTCTCAAAAATTTTAAGAAGTGCTGGGGACGTAGCTTAGTGGTAGAGCACTCCTGGGTTCAAYCTCCAGTACTGCAAAAGCCAACCAACCAAACAAAAAATRTATATAGGAGGAGGTTTGAGCTCTTTGTAACCAACATCCCTGGAAGTTACTGCTTTACCTGGACACCAGCTTAACAGCTGGACAAGGCAGACAAGCTGGGTGTGAGTCCTGTGTAAATGGGAGTCAAATTCTGGGCCTGATTCTGTCTTCCTGTTCAGTTATATTGGTATCAATAGGAGCTTCAGTATGGATCAATAAGTCACCCAGGAGAGATGTTAAGCAGAAACGTAAAGCAGTCAGTTGTAGAGGTGACTGTCTGAAAGTCCTCCAAAATGATTTAGTCCCACTTCAGTTTCCACATACAAAAACTACCTCACGGGGTATGTATTTGTCCAAGGTCATTCAGGTCAGTGCCAAGCACAGAATAGAATCCAGGACTTCAGTATTGTGTTCCTTCACCTTAACCACCTCTCCTCTTACTTGTGCAGGGAAAGATGGAATTGGAAGAAACAATAAAAGTGTGGAAACAGCGGACACATGTTATGCGGTTCTTCCATGAAACAGAAGCACCCAGGCCAAAGGATTTCCTGTCCAAGTTCTATGTTGGCCACGACCCATGAAGCTACTCAATGGAAAGGTGCATATTGATATATTTAATTACTATATACAAATAAACATATATAGTTAAACTCATGGTGGTTGCTTCATGGTAGAATTCTCTTGGTGAACCAATTTCCTACAGTCTCTCTCACCAAGCCTGAAGAAGTAGGGTATTGGTACACATACCCCTGTCATTCCCTTTGCTTCAATTGTGTAGTGTGCTATAAATTAGATTGGATTCTTCCTCAGAGTCTAATATGTCAGTAAACAGGAAGAGATGAAGCCATCTCTTCAGAAACTCACACTGGATATGAAGCTGGATGACTGTTAATTTAGTCATGTTTCCATAGCCTACACAATTGGATGCCTTGGTATTAGAGCACAGATAATCCAAAATTAGCCATTTCTGGCTCTCAGAGAAGGGTCAGAGCAACAATAACAGGCATGGAAAAAGACCTGATAAGATGGGCCATTTTCCTCTCTGGTTCCGAAGAAAATTGATGGCCAGAGGCTTAACCCCTGTCTTTCAACAAGCACCAGTCCTCATAGTGAAATTCAGTTCCTACTCTTCAGGCAGGCTGCTAGTGCCCTGCCTATTGGATGCATACACAGAGAACAGAAATATTCCTGTTGATTTYGCACACTGGTGTAGCTCTAAATATAAGGAGAATAAACATCAGTGGAGGTTAAAGAACTGATTCCTATTTGTTTTGGATGGTATTCTCTGTTCATTCCCTGGAGAATCCAAATGCTGGAGAAAGGAGTTCAGTATCTATAGGTATAATCACTCAGAGGATTCTTACACTTTTCAGCATAAAGGATTCCTTTATTTTTGCCTAAGGAACCCAAGTTTTAAAAGGTCATTCTTATGAGCTGGGTGTGATGGTATACCTGTAATCCCAGCGGCTCAGGAGACTGAGGCAAGAGGATCGAGTTCAAAGCCAGCCCCAGCAATGGTGAGGCACTGAGCAACTCAGTGAGACCCTGTCTCTAAATAAAAATACAAAATAGGGCTGGGGATGTGGCTTAGTGGTTGAGTGCCCCTGAGTTCATCCCTAGTACCCTCCCCCCMAAAAAAAGATTCTTATGACACTAAACTAGCTGTAAAATAATAAAAGCTCCTAATAGGCACATAGCTAGCCAATATTACTAACAACAGACCAAAAAAGCTTGAGGCTTTAGATAGCCTCTGCAGCTTTGAAGGAAAACTGTTTCTATTGAGCTTTTGTAAATTTAAAAAATAGGTCTCAGGCCTCCTTAATTACCTTTGTGGATCCATAGAGGCCTGGCTATCCTGGGCTACTTTGCAGATAGAGAAAGAAAAGACCAAAACATTGCAACAACTAGAGCCTGCTTTCAGTCACACACAGCTGATATTTATTAATATTATTCATAATTTGACAGCTTGCTTTTTCCAGTGTTCAGTGGACAGCACAACTTGGGGAACCTCCCAGAATGTGGGGATCTGGGCTGTGTTCACAGACCATGCAGGAGGCAGGACTGGGGGCTTCCCCTGAGCCCTTCTGCTTGTAGGGGAGGAGGCCTGAGCACATCACCATTCCTTCAGCTATGATTTTGTCCTTTCCATACCTCTTCCGTGCCCTGTAAGAAAAGAGAGCAATAGTGAAGTGGTGTGAGTCCTCCATCCACTTACTGAAAAATAATTCAACAGAGTGCTTCTGCTAAACATGGCAGGAGAAAGGCAGTTCTTAGGATCTTTGATTATTTATTCACATATTTACTGGGCATTCACCACAGACCAGGCACTAGGAGTCCATAAGGTATAAAATGTTCCCTCCAGTAAGAAACTTAAGGCTCTGGTAGAATTTTGGTGTGGATGTGGGTGTTTAAGCACATAATACTGAAATTTTTTAAATTGGTTTTTATTTTTTTGATACTGGGGATTGAACTAAAGGGTATTTCACTGCTACGTCCCCATTTCCACCCCAGGATATCACTAAGTTGGTGAGGCAGGCCTCAAACTTGTGATCTTCCAGGGACTGGGGATATAGCTCAGTTGGTGGAACGCTTGCCTAGCATGCACAGGGCTACCAAAAAAAAAAAAAAAAAAAAAAACAACAACAACAACAAAAAAAACAAACTTGTGATCTTCCAGCCTCAGCTTCCTAAGTTTTCTGGTATTATAGGCGTGTGCCACTCCACTCAAATAGACTGAATGTTGTGAGAAAGGTGAGGGTCACTCAGACAAAGCAGAAGTCACTCTCAGATGAAGGGATAAAGGGAAACTTTATCAAAGACACTGAAGAATGGGTGGAACTAAGACAAAGAGCAGTCTGAGTGACAAGCCAATGCTTGGGGCTAAGAAGGTATTTGAAAAATGATGAATCCTGGGGATAGCTCACCAGAGTAGAACAGAAGGTCTGGTCCTCTCAAGGGCATTTCCTCTTGTGGTTGGGAATATGGAAGATGAGCGTGGGATAAGAGGTGTGACTAGACAGATCATGGAAAGTCTTAAATGCAGGCTGAGTCAGGAGTGTCCTTATTTATGACAGCTGTGCTGCCAGAAAAGGACATATCAGAACACAGGAAATCAACACAAGAATGCTGAATGAGAAGAGGGCTGGCACACCTTGGGGAGGGTCTGTGAACAGTATGAACCAGGCAGTTATGCCCATGCTTAGACTGTACTGGTGCAGAGCTGATATGGTGAGGACCTGCCAGTTTCCAAATTTCAGTATGGAGCAGCTGAAATTAAGCTGTTGGTGGTGGGTGTATAAGGCATATTAAATTGACAGGAAATGTATGAGTTAATGAATTAAGAGTTTGTCAAGGGCAACTGAATAGATGCCTAAGATCTAGACCTAGTTGAAGAGATAGCAGTGAATTTGTAAGTCAACTTTTATCCCTGTCCAACATAAGAAAAAGGCAAAATAAAATCACTAAGCACGAAGTGGATTAATTCATAGAAGTTTCTGACCTGAATGTCCAAATGTTGCTACCTGCTACCGGGCCARACTGCATCACAGATCACATCAGATGCTCCACCCTCTTCCTGCTACTGCCCATTTAAGGGAATAGCAAGCCTTACCTGTTAGTCATCGTCGTCATCATCCTCTGGGACAAAAATGTCATGCTCCTCAAGTAGAGCAGCAAAGTTCTTGCTAATAAGCGTCCCAACATACAGAAAGGGGATCACAATGGAGAACACACGGAGAAGGCCAAAGGACATCTGCAGAGGGTCAGAAGGGTGGCTGTGAGCTCCAGAGCCCAATTTGACAGGAGCATTTGCTCCTGTGGACCTCAAACCCATCCTAAACAACCTGATTTTAAGCCCTTGGAAAAACTCGGAGCAAGAAAAATAAGAGAAGATAAAAAAGTGATTGTTGTGATCATGAAAAAAGATACTAGAAAGAAAAGTACAAGGCAGTCAGACATCTAAAAACTAGGCACAACCTGCTAATTATTTGTAGATACCCTACAATCAGGTGAGAAAGTACTAAGAGGACTGAACTAAGGTCAACACTTCTTAAAGATACTAAACACGTGAAAATTAATTACAAGACAACGTATGGCTATGGGATGTTCTATACAGTTCAGATAACAGGCTCTCTGATACCTAACAAAGTTGATTTCACCACATAAAATTTCAGAAACAGCTTGTTTGAAAAATGGGCACGTCTTTACAATGGAATAGATGGATCCCAGAAGAYCACCAACATTTCCTCTCCTATTTTCCTGGAGTTAGAATCACTTTGAGAAGCTGGAAGCTGTGACATGCTCCTGTAATCCCAGCTACTCAGGAGGCTAAGGCAGGAGGACAACAATTCAAGGCCAGCCTGGGCAATTTAGACTCCGCCTCAAAATAAAAAAATGTAGATCAGTGATAAGGTGCCCCTGGGATCAATCCCCTATATTGGGGGTGGGGTGGGGTGATGAGGGTGGAGGTGTGGTGGAGATGTAACTCGGTGGTACAGCGATTGCCCTGTTGCCAGAGGCCCTGGGTTTGAGCCTCAACCTCAGAGTGCGATTGGGTGGTGTTCAATTGTCAATTATGCCTCTTTGTAAGACAGCAGCACTTTCTTTCCGGTCTTGCTGTGAAACCAGTCTATGGTTAATTGTGTGAATTAGCATGGGCCAGACCAGCTTTCAAGAACTGTTTTTTAACTCACACAGCCCTGCAGTCAGAAAGCAAACTTTTGTTTGGTATAAATGGCTATTTCTATTATGCTTAGAAAGACTGACAGCACTCGGTGGTGGGGGAAAAAAAAAACAGGATCTGGTCGGGGCTGTACTAAGCAAAAAACATGGATGCGAGGACCTAACTCGGCTGTCAGCCTAGGACATTGGCCACCACCCTGGTTCTTCAAATACTAGGTCACGACTAATCGGTCCCGCCCCACGTTCCCCTGATGCAAAACTCCTTCACGACTCGTTCTTTCACCCCATCAACTGCGCGCAGAGACTGCACAATCCGCCTGAACTCGATGCACAAAGCTGTCTTCCGGCCCAGAAAAACGGGCACCGTACTTCTCCCGATAAACTAGCGCAAAATACAGCTTTCACCCTTCAACCTCAGTCTCCAAAACCCGGCTCAACATGGGGTTTTAAACAACATCTCCCCCGCCCCAAACWAAACCCGCAGCCCATCAGCACAAAAATTTGTCCTCAGCCGCCTTCCAGTCTACAGCGATCCTTTGATTGGCCTCTGTTCCTGCCGATCAGCGTCGGCCCGTACGCACTCCCCACAACGATTGGCTTCAGCCCCTTCGCCCCGCCTCCAGGCAGACACTCACTTTCACAGGTTTGGGCAAAATGGCGCCGCTGCGGGTAACGATGACTGACCTCGACGGTACCAGGCTCCGACCTGAGCTGCCCCGTGTGGCGAAGACATCGCCACCTTTCTTCAAGATCGGCCCACTCCGGGGAACCCCGCATCGGACAGGTGCTAACGCCAGCCAGCGAGCTGCTCCGGACGCCATCTCCCAGCCCCACCCCTCGCCCGGGCACCAGTACCCCACAGTCGGGCCTCGGTGCCGCCCTCACGCAGAACGCCACCCCAATCTCGCGAGACGTGAGGGAGAACGCGAGAAGCCCAGCCCTGACATTTGCGCAGTGCCCCCAGTTCCTGTTGTGGTGGAAAGAGGCGTTTGTCTCCCGCCCGACGTGGTGACGTCACGAGAACGATACAGAAGTCCCCCTTTGCCCCTCCCACAGGGCCCTGGTCGGCCGCAGTGAGTTCTGTGACTTTCTTTGTTCCCGGAGGGGTCAGCTGAGAGTGTGTTGAAATAAGCTTCAGGAACCAAAATGAGTAATAATGAAAAAACTTTACTCATTGAATCTTATAAAAAACACTAACAACGGGCGGGAGTGGGCTGAGGGTCTGGAACACGGGGCTGGAGAACAGGCGGGGCCAAAGTGGACCTGGTGGGAGTTACGTCCGCAGCAAACCCGAGGTCCCTAACCTAACAGCTTCTGCCATCAGACACTGGCTTCGCAACTCCAGCCCTGATTCTTCATTTCTAAAAACATTGTAATAACCAAAATGAGTAATAACTTTTTTAAAAAAAGCTTTAGTGTTTTAATTGTATATATATATATATTTATATTTAAAAAAAAAAAAAAACAGTAACAAAGATAACAAAGGCCTGTAGTATCTGTGTATAAAATAAAGTGCAGGTGGGCCGTAGGGCTCCCGTACAGGGCTGGGAACAAAGCAGGGCAGCAGTGGTCCTGGGCCTAGGGCCGCATCTCAGCCTCCTGAAGTCTGTCTTCGGCCCACTTGGGCTTAGTCCAGCCAAGTGAAAGGGAAGCAAGGAAGGGGGTGTCTGTCACCAGGCCCTGCATCTTCCCACCAGTCACTGCCACTATACCTTTAAGGTGACAGGCTGGGCTGGCCTTTGGCTCTGTAGTCCCAGCAGTTTTGCCTTCCAGACAAATAGAAAAACATTTTGCACCACTGCTGGGAAGAGCAGCAATGAGGATTCCTGAAGGTAAAGTCCTGGGAACTGTGACAGAGTTCCCAGGTGGCTTTAGGAGGAGGAGTACCTTTATGGGAGCCCAGCCAGGAGAGTGGGATTTATCACATGGTACTGAGAATCCTAAGCTTCTAGAATACCCAGGACTGAGGACCAAAGAAACAAACTGGCCTTCCCCAGGGGCCACCCTGCCTCCCTGCCTCTTCTTTACTTCCTGCTTGGCAGTACCAAGAGCTAGCTGGCTGCTGAGGACGGAACACAGGAAAGGTTTTTGCTGACATAAAAGCCCCTCCCAAGGCAAAGTTCAGCATTATCTGTGGTGGTTTGGTAGAGGAGGAGTAAGAAGTCACTCTATTTAGCTAAAGGCTGTTTCCTACAAAGGACCCTATCCAAACTATGGGGGGAAAGGGGTCCCAGTCTTCCTATCCCTCTCAAGAAAAGCTGGGCCCAGAAATCCCTATAACACAATAAATTGATTTTCACTGACAATGTTAGCCCCTAAGCTAATACTGCAGGCAGCCTCTGGCATTTAAGTGCACACGAGACTCCTGTGTTGGAAATTATGGCTAGAGTCTGGTGTGTAGGTGAAAGGTAGGGCAGCCCCTCTTCCTGCATTTCATTAATATCCCCTGAGAGAGGGGCAGTCCTGTCAGAGTCAGGAGACAGGTTTGCTCTGGGGCGATCCGTAAACCACCTTTCTTTTCTGGGTTTCAAAAAGTAAGGATACTTTTTTCCAACCTTTTTTAAAAGGTTGGAAGCCATAATTCCTCAGTCCCCTGTAGGCACAGGGAGAATGTAGAACCTGGAAGGCCTAAAAAAATCAGGAGGGAAGGAACTCCCCTCCCCCCAAAAGCAACCTTGGAAGTGAGTAAACATTTAACTCCTTGAAAAGCACTGGCTGCAGTGTCCTGACCAGCAGGACAGGGCCAGGACTAAAGGCCCAGGCTACGGGCCTATCCTATGGCTTGCATTCTGGCTGGCTCCCCAGGACCCTTTGCTGCCACCCCCGCCTCAGTTCCACAATCTCCTGACCATACCAGTCGTGGAGGGTAGAGAAGCAGGAGGTCTCAGGGGACACAGGGCTCTGCCCCTTGCCTAGGAGGAAGCTGGCAGGGCCCTGCAACTCCCACTCAGCCAAATCCCGCCCTGCTGGCCTGCTGCCCCCTTCTTCACTGGAACCCATGGGGCTGCAGTCGCTGGGGAGAAAGTGTCCATTCTCTGGACTTGGAGACGAGTGGTTGGGAGCCTGTGGCTTACAGCGGCTGCCAGCCACCTTCCGGGTGGCACAGCGGTGCAAGGCCAGGCTCTGGCGGGCTTCCTGCAACTGGCCTTCCAGCTCACGGACCACCAGGCGCATGTAGCCAAAGCTGGCCCGGGACAGCGCCTTTACCCAGGCCTCTTGGGCTGCTTGCCCATCTGCTGCCAGCAGGTGTGGGCGCACTCCTGGGGCGTCAAAGCGGATGGCAAAGGCGAACTCCTCAGGCACCGGAGCCTCGGCCAGTTCCACGGTGCAGCCCTCCAGCACAACCAGGCTCAGCGGGACCCGGCCCTCGCGGCTCTCAAAGGAGAATAGCAGATTGCCCTTAAGGACAAACCAGCATCTTCGGCCYGTGCCACTGGGGGTGGGTGGGGTCCCTGGACCCCCCCAAGTGCGCAAGAAGCCTGTGTGGTCTGCGGGGGAGTCACTCAGTGCGTAGTGGGTCACACTCCTCTTGTTAAGCTTCATGGCTCCCACAAAAACTGAGGAGAGGGAGATGGTTGCAGATTAGAGAGGGAGGCAGCCCCAGGGGGAAGGACCTGGCCCTGCCTTGTGGCCCTGCTCACTGACTGCATCCCAAGGCTCTTAGTCTTCATACGTGAACTGGGCCGGTCTTCCCTACCTTTCTCTCAAAGGGATGTTGTGAGAGGCCAAAAAGTGGACATCCAATGACTCAGGAGAAAGGATATTGCAATTGTAGAGCAGAGGTGTGGTGGGACATTGTCATGGTTTTTAAAACCCAAAGAAATAGGCCCTAGCGTGGCTGAAACAGACGCCAAGCCCATAGAAACAATTCTGCTTCAATCACCCCATGACTTGCAGGCCTCTCAACTCCAGTTCTGTGGACAGCCCTCCAGAGTCCCCATTGACTCTCCTGGGCTCTCCTGGCCTCTCACTGTAGGAGGTGTATGGCACAGTTGTCCTTCACCGGGAATCTGCAGCCTTCGGGGCCAGATAGGTGCAGGGGGCGGGGAGGCAGGCCTGCTTCACAGTGAGGTTCAGAGAAGATCTACTCTGTAAGCAGGAGTGTGGCCCAAACTCAGGGTCTGGCTGAGAAGGGCCTGCCACAGCGGCTGAATGCTGTTGCCCAAGGATCATATAAGGCACTTAATCCCAGTGTCCTCCTTATTCATGGAAAACTGTGACAGCATTGAAGAGGAACTGCCCAAAATCACATGACCAGTGAGAAGCAGCCCTTGCTTTGCCTATTCTCTCACACCTTCTGGGGGCGGGGGAGTCTCAGGTGATGATGCACTTACCAAAATAACTCACAAGGAGAGGGCAGTCCCTCCTCTCTGGCCACACAGCTCAGCCACCTGGTTCCCAGGGGGCCTGCAAAACAATTCTCAAATGATGAGAATTCCTACTGTGAACTGGGGCAAAGCAAAATGACCATATCCACCAAGAAGCCCTCCCTGCCCCTTGGTAATCCCCACCCATTGACCCATTGACCCAGACCTGGCACACTCAAGGGTCTGGGTCCCACAGTCTTGACCTTCACTCTTCTCAACTCCCTGCCCTCTGAGACTAGGTCAGAGGTAAGTGCCCCCATAGCTTCCTGCTTTCCCTTCTGACACTTTGTGGCCTTTAATTTATGTCACCTAATTAGAGAAGCCTTGCTGGATCACCATACCCAAGGGAGGTCCTGATCACCAAGGTGTCTGACAGAAGGTTTCCTTCATCCCATAAAGATCCCATTTGCAGGGCTGAGCTTGTGGCTCAGTGGGCACTGGGTTCTTTCCCCAGCACCACATAAACAAAAAAACTAAATGCAGCGATTAAAAAAAAAGTTCCATTTGCATTTTCAGCACTGTCCCCAACCCTAGAATGTCCAGGGCTGTATCCAGTGTGGCTCCACTGATGAGCACTGTGCCTGGCTCCTAAAGCCCTCAAGAAGTGGGTTATTTCCAGGCGGGGCAGTGCCCACCTGTAATCCTGCAACCCCAACAACCGGGAGATTGAAGCAGGAGTGCAGTTTAGCGAGACCCTCAGCAACTGAGCGGACACTATCTCTAAACAAACWAATTAATTAATTAATTAAAAAGAGGTGGGCAGTAGCTCAATGGTAAAGCGCTCCTGGGTTCAATTTCCACTAAGGAAAAAAAAAGAGGAGGAGGAAGAAGAAAATGCGTGTTGGATTCAGGGGACTACACCGGTAGGCAAAGCAAAGTCCCCTGCCTTCCTGGAGCCACATTCCAGCGGGGGAGATCCACTGTGAGCAAACAAAAATGAATTATTATCATCATCATCATCATTATTATTAAATGAATAATTAAGTTACAGTCAATGGGCTAATAAACAAGGGCGGAGTGATAAGGGCTAAGGAGAGAAAGGCCGCGGGGCTGAGGAGGGGCCTTTCCAGTCGGGGTGGCCCCGGAAAGGGGAGGAGACCACAGAAGTCGGCCCGAGGAGTGGCCTCAGCGCCWGTCCAGGCCCCGGCGCCGGGCAAGGGGAGGGGTCTGCAGCCCGCGGCTCTGGCCACCGCTCGGGCTGCGGACCGGACCCCGCGTCCGGCTCTCGCTGAGGCACCGCGGCGTCCCGGTTGCCGGGGACTTGGCCGCTGAAACGGGGGTCGCCGCGGTCGGGACCTCCCCGGCGCGGGCCACAGCCCGGGCTTCCCGATCCGCGCGGCGCGGCCGTTCCCGCCGCGTCCCGCGACCGCACCTTCCCCGCGCCGCCGCCTCCCGCRCCCGCGGGGCCCGCTCTCACCTCCCGCGCTGAGCGCGCGGCCCGCTCGGGGGGCTGCGGCCGCGTCCCGGGCGCTCGGGCGCCGGTCCCGCGCCTCCGCCGGGCTGCGAACGTGGCCGCGGGAGCCGGGGACCCCGCCCGGGCGGCTCGGGTTACCGCCCTCGCCCCTCCCTGCCCAAAACGCTCGGGGATCCGCCGAGTCGCCTCGGGATCCAGAACGGCGGGAAACTGAGGTCCCCGAGGGTGGGCACCTGCCCGAACCATAGAGCTGGTCAGTGGAACCGTGGCCGCCRAGCCAGGGCTGCCCCCCGGGCTGTCCGCGGGCCTCCCGCCCAGCTCACCGCTGGGAGAATTCAGAATCCACTTCCCCACCAGGTCCCGCTCGGTCCTCCGTCCTGCTGAGCCCAGCCGGGCAAGGCCTCCCGGTGTCTGCTAAAGGCGAACTCCTGCACRGCCGGCCAAGCCCTGTCGGGCTACMCCGGGCCCCTGGGGTCTGCCTTCTCTGCCTCTGCAGATGATCCATTTCTCTTCCACCCTCCAGGAGGGTCCCTCCCCTAAACTCCACCCTGAATTGGCCAACGCCTAGGCCTGCAGTGAAGATGGCTGGAACACACAAAGACCGAGGCTGGGGGTTCCCAGAGGCCCTTCCTGGGAGCCGGTGTACTCCCACCTCAAAGCCTTTTCGTTTGCAGTTCCTGTAGCCTAGGCAGCCCTCCCTTCTCACCCCCACCCTCCCAGCCCTAACCCCAGGACCCCTTCACAGCACTTTTGTCTCAGGTCAGATGTCCCCTCCCTGGCCACACACTACACAGTAGCCTACCCTGAGGTTTTGAGCACATCCCTGGGTGTGTTTTCATTATAGCACGAGCCACTACAGTAATTCCCTGTACTCATGCTTTTATTTCTTATTTATAGTGTCTCCCTAAATAAATTTTATTCAATCAATAGTATAAACTATAATAAGTGTATAAAAGGTGATAACTGTGTGGAAAAAATAGACTAAGGGAGATCGGGAGTTGGGGTGAGAAGGCAGGGTAGGCCTCACTGAGAAGATGTCATTTGACAAACACTGAAGGAAATGAGGGTGCCAGCAAGGCCGGTATCTGAAGGAAGAGATTTCCAGGCAGAAGTGACAGCTAGTGCAAGGGCCCTGCCAGCTGTTGTGCCTGAGGGGCTGCAAGGAGGCCCGTGTGATTGGAACATCCTGAGGAAGGGGCCAGCAAGCACTCTCAAATCTGGGAGGGCCATAAGGGCACAYGGAGGTGAGTAGCCATCACAGGGTTTAGAGGGAGGCTTGACTGGTTTTCAGGGGTTACTCTGGTTGCTGGTGGATGGAAGCAGGAGACTACTGAGAGGCTGCTGAAATACCAGGTAAGGTGTGGTTGAGGGCACCAGAACAGTGAGAGATGGCTGGATGTGAGGTGGATTTTAAAAGGTAGAGAGTGCAGAATTTACCAAGAGATTGCATGTAAGGGGCAAGGAGATAAGGCTGTATGGAGAACACCAGGTTTTGGCTTGAGTAATCAGAAGTGGAGTTGCCACTATCTGAGATGGTGGCGGGTATTGGGGACCCATAATATTTGAAATCCAGTGGCCATCCAAGTGAAGGTGCCCAGAACAGTATTGAGCACTAAGTAGTTGCTCAATAAATAGCTGAATGAAGGAGACAAGGAATTTTCAGAGTATCTGGCTGAGCAGTCCCAGAGAGTCTCCTGATTACATGAGCTGTGTCCTCCACCGCCTTTGCTCTCTCTCTCACCCATCCTCCCATAGTAGTACCCGTTCATTTTCACTATTTTTAAGCGTCTTACTATCAGCCATGCTTCAGGACATTTCCTCTAAACAACGCTCTTAGAGGGTTTTCACAGCACCGCCACTTCCTGAGAGCCTACCGTGTGGGGGACACTCTACGCCCTCTTGGGTCCCCTAGAAGTGACAGAATTAATTAGCTTCGCAGCAAACCTGGTCACCCAGGGGGCAGGGCTGGAACTCAACAGGGCGGGGCATAGGGAGCGCGTGGGGGCGGGGCGTCGGGTGGGTGGGGGCCCACAGAGGGCGGGGTACGTTGCTAGGTGGGTTCTGATAGGTTGTGCCAGAAGGGTAGCGGCGCAGGGGCCGCCCACTGGAACGCTGGGAGCGAATCAGGCGTGTGGATCTGCCAGAGGCTCGGGAGGCCGAGGCCGGCAGTGGGTCTGAGCGCCCCGGAGGGGTGAGTGAGGCCGCCGCGACGTTGGGAACCGAAGTCGGGAGCCCGGACTGGGCTCAGCGCCTCCGTTCTTTCTGGGCGTCCTGAGCCCGTTGCTGCCGTTGTCTGGCCCCAGCCTGGCCTACGGCTGCCCGTAGGCGCCCGGTTTCCCAGCACCGCGGGCGGGTGAGGTCTCAGGTCCGGGGCAGCCTGTCTGATATTTCTTGCGGAAGAGCTTAGGCTCGGGAAGTAAAGGCTGGGAATGGGTGGCAAGGGGAAGTGGTCGTGAACCCAGAGCTTCTCTACCGTCTCGTGTCTTTCAGAGCCCAAAATATAAAGCTGAAAAGAGCAGAGATTTGGCCCGGTTCTGAGACGCCGAGTCCAAAGCCATGTTACTGAAGACAGGTACCTACACCGACCCCGGGAGCGACAGCACGGGTGGGGGAGGACTGCGTGGAGAAAGTTGCAGCCCTCGGTTTCGGCCCTTCTTCCTTAACGGGTGTGTGGGGAGACGTGTTCCTCCCATTCATGGAGCTGGGCTAGGAAAGGTGAAGAGGATGCTCCCCACCCAAGAATCTATGCCCCCTCCAAAGAAGTCCTTTCCTTTCTCACCCCCTTTCCCCCAAGTGCAGAGGTCCTCTTATGCGATGTGCCATTGCTGAGAGCAGTCCTGTGAAGCGGGAACAGTAACTCCCTCTGACACCTAAAGAAACAAGCCTGAGAGGGAAAGGGCTCACCTTGTGGGCAGGCTGGGCCAGGTCCTTCCTAGGCAAGCTGTAAACCTTTCGGAAACCTTCTGAGTGTCTGTGGTTGACAGCAGAGTTCTGGATTGGGACTTAACAGACCTGGCCTCTGGCCACATTGTACTGTCAAGTTCTATGTATGAGGTGGAGAGGGCTGGTCAAGGGATACAGGAAGGACATGATTTAAAAGTGTCAGTTTTGCTAAGTCCAGTCCTACTGTGGCAACAGCAAGTGGGGAGCCAGACTTCAAACCCATTGTCTTGCCCAAAGGACCTCCCCTGCCAACCTCTGCAGGAAGAGCCAATTCTACCCTAAACCCAGGAGTCTGGTTCCTCTAATATGCAAGCAGTGTGAGCAGCATGCGGATGGGGTGGGAGGAGGGTCTGGACTGTGAGCGCCATTCACAGTCACTATTCTCACCCGCACGCACTCCCAGTGCTCCTGCTGACCCTGGTGGCCCAGGTGCTGGGGTTAGAGAATGGGCTCCTYCGGACACCACCCATGGGCTGGCTGGCCTGGGAACGCTTCCGCTGCAACATTGACTGTGATGAGGACCCAAAGAACTGCATCAGGTGAGTGAGGTCCACAGCCACCAGACAAGCCTTGCCCAAGGCCTGCAGAGTTGAGGCAGGGAGAGAAGGACCAGCTAACAAAAAGGGCACAGTCAGAACCCCTGATCCCAGAATAAGTACAGGCAGAAGTGGCTTAGAGGATATCTGATATTTAGTCTCATGATCTGCTTGGGGCCTCTGTGCGGCAGGGACATTGCACTGGACTTGGCCCCTGAGGTAATTCAAAAGAGATAATGTAGAAGGCCAAGCAGACCTGTCCCTCAGCCTGGAAGCCAGACCCCTCATTTCATCCCACCTAGTTTGTTGTTCCCGACATAGTGGTTTAGTCCGCAGCTGAAAGTAGTCATGATTTTTACAGCCCAGATTCAGAGCTGAGGAAGGGAAGGGATAGGATGAGGGTCAGGCTGGGCGATCGAGCAGCCCCATGCCCCTTGCTAGTGAGCGGCTCTTCATGGAGATGGCTGACCTGATGGCACAGGATGGGTGGCGGGACCTGGGCTACGTCTACCTCAACATCGATGACTGCTGGATTGGTGAGCGAGATGACAGAGGCCGCCTGGTGCCTGATTCCAAGCGCTTCCCCCATGGCATCACTTTCTTGGCTGACTATGTGAGTTCCACCCCAGCCCTCCCCAGGCTCTGGGGGCTCTTCCTCCCCTGTCACCCCACTGCTTGAGTCTCATGGGGAAACTGATGAATGATCRCCACTATGGTGAGAGGCAGAAAGGGCATCCTACTCAGCCTGGGACTCTAGGRAGACCCTTGGAGGAGACAAGTTAGTTCTTGAGCAACCCCAGAGGGGTGGCCTTTGAGGCAGACATGAAGGCCTTGAGGCAAGAAATAGCCAGAAGCAGTGTGATGGAGGGAGGAGAGGCTGGAGCTGGCAGAGGCCAGCCAGCAAGCCGGGACCTCTCCTCTGGTCAATGGGAGCCAGTGAAGGTTTGAATGGGCCCTAGTCAGATGTGCTGATGAGGAGGCTTCCTGAGGGTCCCACCTGAGCCCTCTGTGTTCTCAACCCCCTACAGGCTCATTCCCTGGGCCTGAAGCTGGGCATCTATGCGGACATGGGCAACTTAACGTGCATGGGCTTCCCTGGCACCACTCTAGACAAGGTGGAGCTGGATGCGCAAACATTCGCTGAGTGGAAGGTGGACATGCTGAAGCTGGATGGCTGCTTCTCCACCCGCCAGGAACGGATTGAGGGTGAGTTCCACAGCTGCCAGGCGCCATCAAGTAAAAAGGAAGAGATGGCCACAGGAGCTTGATCTGTGTGTAGCCCCTAGCAGTGGTTTTGCCAGTTCCCCTTACCCAGGGGCTGAAGGGATGTTCAGGTTCCCTAAAGATGGGGTAGACCACAGCCACCTCATTCTCGGTGTGTGGGAGGTACCTCCTGTTTGGTTGGAAAACATTTGAGTGGAGGCCCCARGCTGCCTCTGCGCCTGCTCAATCCTCTAGTGGGGGTTGGGCTTTTCTTTAGGATATCCCAAGATGTCTGCTGCCCTGAATGCCACAGGCCGTCCCATCGCCTTCTCCTGCAGCTGGCCAGCCTACGAAGGGGGCCTTCCCCCTGAGGTAAGCCATTCTGTGTACCCACCTGCTAAGGCTCCCATACCCTAGGGTCTCCCTTGTCCTGTGTGTGCCAGGCCACAGGGAGGTAGCTACCAGAGCCAGGGCTGCTCTCAGCTCAGTTGCCCATGTGCTTATTTGTAGGTGTGTAAAGAGAGGGCCATAGAGTCTTAAAGAGGGGGCCACAGCCAGCCCAGGGTGTTAGAGAAATGGAGCCCTCATCAACTGAACTGACGGGTTGGTATCCAAGGCTCATGCCAGCACTGACCACCCAGCAAGTGGGGTCAGTATGCTGGGTGGTAGGTACTGAGTGGGCTAGGAGGTCCAGAAAGCTGGTGAGCCAAGCCTCAGAAGGGCCCATGGGCACCTTGATAGCCCCCACCCCTAGCACATCTGACCCTGGGAAGGATGGGCTCAGACCTCCAGACCTGAGGGAGATGGCTGGCAGAAGTGTATGTGTGAAGTATGGGGAATGCACAGTGGGGAGGGTTGTGGGTGCACCAGCCTAAGTCCACCCTGGGCTCAGCTCCAGCAGGCATGAGAAGATAGGGTAAGCTCCATACTGGTGCCAGCCTGTTTGGAAGGGAAGCCTAGGTAGGTCCACAGCAGGCCCACCCTCTCAGAGGGCTTCCTGGTCCTGAATAAGCTTGTGGACCTGTCCTTTTTACCCCTTCCCACTGTTGCCTGCTGAGCCTCCCCAGTCCCTGGATGGCTCCAGGCAGCAGGGCATGACCATGCTGGACTCTGCCTTCCCTGGCATCCAGGTGAACTACACTCTGCTGGCTAACATCTGCAACCTCTGGCGCAACTTTGATGATATCCAGGACTCCTGGAGGAGTGTGCTCTTCATCCTGGACTGGTTCGTGAAACACCAGGACATTCTACAGCCAGTGGCCGGCCCTGGGCACTGGAATGACCCGGACATGGTACCAGCATGGAAGGGAATGTCCCTAGACCCGCAGTCCATGAAAGCCCCACTGCCCGTGCTCTCTTCCTTCCTTGAGGCTCACTCCCAGGTTCTAGGTCAGCTTTTCTGAAATGTGCCCCTGAACTGGGTGTGACGTGTTGTGTCAGACTCACCTTCAGAGCTTGTTTACAGTGCCTGACCATGGTCCCTCCCCSACCTTTTGCATCAGAATGTTCAGGGAAAGGTTGCAGGAATGCCCATTGTTTCTAGAACTCCAGTCTGTAGCAACCAACTCTCCAGTAAAGATGATGCCTGTTCCTTGCTGTGTTGCCGGGCCTAGCACCTAGACTGTCCTCCTGAGCCTCTGGAAGCTCTTCAACACCCTCTACCCTGCTGTCCTACAAACCCTGCCCTGCCCCACCCTCTAGGCCACAGCTTCTGGCGCTTTGGTCCTATCTCCATCATAGCCCTGCTGATTTTTTAAAATAGTTTTATGGTTATCTGTTCATTTAGCCAACAAGTATTTACTACCAATGACAGTTATAATTGTGACTACTAAGCCAGATGGAGGGGCCGGCCTGCTTTGGAGTAAAGCTTACCTGCTTTGGAGTTGTAGCTCCAGCTCTACCACTTACCTCCAGCAAGTAACCCAGTTTTTTCTGTGCTTTTGAGAGTCAAATTTTTAACTCTAAAATGCATATGCCAGACACTGTTTAAATCACGATCACCAAGTACCATGTTGAATTAGTAATAATGGTTTATGTCCTGTGGATTGGTTGTTTGCTCTGGGGTCAGGAGTTCCCATGGGTTCATTCAGCTCTGGCTAGGGCAGGTGGATGGCAAGTGGTAGGTACAGAGGGACTCTATCCAAGTCTGGTTTCCTACTACTGCTGCCTGCAGTATATTTCTTGACTCACTATCCCCATTTACAAACTTTTTAAAAAAAATATTTTTAGTTGTAGATGGACACAATACCTTTATTTTACTTATTTACTTTTAGGTGGTGCTGAGGATCGAACCCAGTGCCTCACATGTGCGAGGCAAGCGCTCTACCACTGAGCCCCAGCCCGAGCCCTCCCATTTATAAACCACTAGACACTGTCTCAAAATAAATAAAAAGGGCTGGGGAGAGCTCAATGGTGGAGCATTTACCCAGCATATACCAGGGCCCTGTGATGCAGCAGAGAATATCATCCTCCCATGCTCCTGATGAGGGGAAAAAAAAAAACCCAAACTGATGTGCAGATGGAAGGGGATTTATTTGCCCCATGGCCACATAGCTGCACTAAGCCAGGTCCACACAAGTGACTCTCATTCCCCAGTCTAGCCCATGCCTGTCTCCCTGAGGAGCACAAGATGATTGATCCTTTCTTCTGTTACCAGCTGCTCATTGGGAACTTTGGCCTCAGCTATGAGCAAGCCCGGGCACAGATGGCCCTGTGGACTGTGCTGGCAGCCCCCCTCTTCATGTCCACAGACCTGCGTACCATTTCCCCTCAGAACGTGAACATTCTGCAGAATCCACTCATGATCAAAATCAACCAGGATCCCTTAGGCATCCAGGGACGCATGATTCTCAAGGTACTGGGGTGTGTGGGGAGGGCTGAGAACTGGGCTGTCCTGAAAGCAAGGCTGTCAACCTGGAGGACAACTGGGGAAGGGAACAGGAGTGGGGCTGGGTCTCTGAAATCCCTTCCTGGTTGCATGTAATGGAGAACTGCTGGGAACTGCTCCAACTGCCCTCTTCTTGCCTAGGTGAGAGCAGGGCAGAGCAGGACAGCTCATGGGCATGAGGCAGGGGCACATCACTACACAATTGCTCAGGGGAACAGTGAGGCATAGGGCCACTGCACATAGGTAATGTTCTCCAGAGAGCTAGGGCTTTCTTCTAGAGTTTAAGAAATTGTTTTAGCCAAGACCTAACATTAGTTTCTACTATTGAGCACCTACTGTGGCTCAATACATTTTAGATATTTTCTTAGCAAGGTGGATACTCTTCCCTGTTTTATAAATGAGAAAACTGAAGCTTCCAAAATCTAAGTAACTTTTTATCTTAAGGTTTCATAATTGGTACAAATAAGACTTGAACAATCTTGTGAGCTTGTGAGGTAGGGCCTCATGCATTATTGTGTCCTAGCATGAGGGCTGGCACAAAGTAGACGTTGGTGTGCATCTGCTAAGTCAGAGAATGAAGATAGGGCTAGATAAGTTGGGGAGGCTGTGACATCATCCCCAAGCCTCTGTATGATACAGAGGGACGTCTGGGACGTCTGACAGGCTGTGGTGGCCCCACTGAGCCTTGACCATAGCCTGAGGGGCTTAGAGCTCAAGGGAGGGCCAGGAGGGAATTTCAAAACCTCTCTAAGCAGAGACCTCAGTCATAACTATCTTTTATGCCCAGGAAAAATCCTTAATTCAAGTGTTCAAGCGGCCCCTGTCTGGGGACACCAATGTCGTGGTCTTCTTCAGCCGTAGGACGGACATGCCTTTCCGCTACCACTCCTCCCTGGCAAAGCTTAACTTCTCCAGCTCCAGAATCTATGAGGTGAGTCCCCTGCCCCTGCAGCCCCTGGCCTTGCCTCCTGGAGTCTGGTTTCCAGTTTCCTGGGGGGGTGTCTACTGGGGCTGACCCTCACTCACACATGGCCTCCCTGTGCCATGGGCTTCAGGGCCTCTGGCAGGTGCTTGTGCAGCTACTGCAGCACTGAGGGCTGGGGCTGTTCTCTGCCCTGGTTTTCAAGCAGAACAGACAGAACCAAGAGTCCCCTTAACCTCTCAGGTTGCTGCTGTTCACTGGGCAGCCCTGGCTGCTACAGCCCTCGTGGCGTTTCCCAGGCTGGGGCTTTCTCTGCTACCCTTGTTTGGACATCTGTGAGCTTTGCTTTGGTGGAAAAGTGAAGGGAGGTTCAGGGCTCCCACTTCCATAGGGCATACTGGAGGCCTGCACAGACAAGCCAAGGTCCTGGCACTTCTCCACACTCTGAGGGGCTTTCTGTGCAGTTCTAATTGCCGCCATTGGTGATGTCCCTCCCCACTGCAGGCCCAGGACGTCTTCTCGGGTGAAATCATCAGTGGCCTCCGGGATGATACCAGCTTCACAGTGGTCATCAACCCTTCAGGGGTAGTAATGTGGTACCTGTATCCCATCCAGAAGATGCAGAAAACTGTGCAGAAGTCCCAGGTCCCACTAATGAGGATCTGGGATGTCTGACAGGCTGTGGTGGCCCCACTGAGCCTTGACCATGGAGCCTTGGTATGCCAAGTGCAAGCAGGTGGGGCTCTCTCCTCTCCAGGCCCACTCAGCAACCTGACCTCATCTTACCCAAAGTGCAGTTGCAGAGTCAGGTTCCATGTCCTACCCAAGTGTGGATCCTATTGGAAACTTCTCTTGGGGCAATTTCTTGTGGCCTTCCTGGCCTCTATCTCATCTCTACAGCCCCACAGATATTGCTGAACAATTTGCCAACCTCCTGAGCCACAGGCAGGGGCACCGATGCCCATCAGGACTCTAGCCTCCAGACTTGTTATTGACTGTGAAATCAGGATTTGGAATTTTTCTAATTGGGAATAGAGATCTGACCTCTTGCTAGAACTCTCATGAATTGTGTGACTGGCTTTCCTAGCCTGAGAAGGCCTTGCAGACTAAAACTACCTGGAAGTGGGGCCAGAAAGTGGGGCTCCCTGAGGTCACCAATAAAGCTTTTCTTTAGTCAAGTAGTTGTTACGTGGACTTGGGACAGGGCATGGACACCTTCAGTTGGGGACTCTGGGTGGCAATGCACAGGATGAAGGTTTCATGTGTCTGATGTGTGGCATCTTGTGGCCCCTCATTTTCCAGAGTAACCTACAGATTATACTCCTTAGAAATGCCAGACTTGCCTCACCGCAGGGACCCTTCTCTGCTCTGCATGACACTCTGGTGGCCATGGTGGCAACAAAATGAGGCAGAGTAGTGTTGTTCCCAGGGCCTATTGGTTATGCTTGGCATATCAGTGTCTCCTGCCTCCGTACCTCAACCTGCTTTCTTTTGGTGACCCCACCTTACCCCAAATTCTCTCTCTTCATTATTTCTTCATTATTTCCTGGCTACAAAGGAAGTTCAAATTTCTCAGCTATTTCCATTTAAAAAAACAGAAACAAAACCCATTTTCTATTGTCTGATCAAAAGAATGGCAGGTTCTTGCCTGCCTCCCCAAACCTACCTCCTTCAGCTCASACCACAGGGTGCCACTCTCCCATGGTGGCCCTCTTTCCCATTTGGAAAGCTGATGGCATAGCAGGTTGGCCGGGTCCTCTTTGGGCCTTAAATTGGGAGCTGCAACCCCGCACTGCCCTGCCTTATGGGTCCTCTGCTGGGCAGACCTCCCCTACTCSCTGCCTCACGATCTTGAAGTCCTTGCATCTAGAGTAAGGTATATAAAGAATTTACAAGTGCACATTTTATATGGTTTAATATTACTGGAGTTTTACAATTAAGTCACTAGATCTGATAGTTGAGTCCCCAGGGAAGGTTCCCTGTCCCCAGCTGATGTCTTGAGGCTATGGAGTCACTCAGGAAGACAGAGTCTACCCTGTCCTGGCCTCTGTCCTTAAAGGCCCATTGCTCTGTACATAGTTCCATCCTTGGGTCTTGGCCAAAGTGCTGTTCAAGACAAATGGAAATGTGTTGGTGGAAACACCTCTTCTCTTGCCAGCTCTGGGAAAGAAGCTAGAGATGGGATGTGAATATAGAATATAGGGATTGAGACCACAGACAGGGACTGGGGCCAGGGTTCAGCTGAATTTGACGAATCAGCACCCTTGACTTTCAGACTCAGAAGTGGTCACACATCTGTGCTTGCTTTAAAACATGTCCTTTCATCCCGGGGTTGCCTGAGTAGTTCTCCTATTTCCATACATGCTGCCTGTCTTCCAGGACACTGTTCTACTCTATTCTGCCCAAGGTCAGTGAGGAACTCAATTACTTTTTTCCAGTTCAAGGTAGCCTTACTTGGACTCCAAGGGTAGCCCTTCTCTTTTGAAAACTGTATTATAGAAATTTTCAAACACAAAAAGTAGTACAATAAATCTCCATGTACCCATCACACAGCTCCAAGAGCTTGTGCCAATATTTCGTTTCTCCCTACATACACTTTTCTGAGGTGTGAACTAGAATACTGAAAGCCAATCTCAGAAACCCTAGGTACCACTATATAATCTCTATCAGGGTCTTTGAAATATAAGTCTGACTTTAATACAATCTCCCTATGTAAGGAAGCAGAATTCTATAATAATATATGTCCAGTTTTTGCCATTGGTATCAAAAATATCTTTCTTTAATTTGTTTGAATCAAAATCCAAAAAAGGGGTCAGCAAAATTGGCTCAGTAAGAACCACTGAAAGTTTGCATGCTCCATAAAAGCAATGAAAAACCTGCCACACAGGTCAGAATCATCTTACAGAATTATGGAAATTATTCAAAGACTTCTAACAGCCCAGCTGAGTTTCAATAATAACAGAAAGCTTCATGGCATTTTAACTTTCTTTAGTACTAGATTTTAACAATTATTTTAAATATGTTCCAAGAGCCAAGGGAAATTATGTCTGACGAATTAAAGCAAAGAATAAAACATTTCAAAAAATAGAAGGAAGATATAGAAATTATAAAAAAGAACCAAGTATGAATTCTCAGGCTGGAAAATATAGTATCTGAGATGAAAAATTCACTACCGAGATTCAATAACAGATTCGAGTACAGAGTAAAAGAATCAGCAAGTTTGAAAATAGTATGTTGAAATTAATACAAGGAATAGAAATACTAATGATTAATGAACAAAGCCTCAGTGTCCTTTGGGATACCATCAAGTGTACTAACATACACATAAAAAAGAGGGAGGGGCTGGGGCTGTAGCTGAGTGGCAGAGCACTTGCCTGCGACATGTGAGGCACTGGGTTCCATCCTTAGCACCACATCAAAAAACAAAAAAAAAGACATGCTGTTCATCTACAACTACAAAATTTTTAAAAAATAAAAAGAGGAAAGGGGCAGAATATCTGAAGAATTGTAGGAGTTAAGAGTTCCTATATTTGATGAAAATACTAATCTGTATTTCCAAGAAGTTTAACAAACTCAAAATAGGATAAACTTAAAAAGTTCCATACCTAGGGGCTTGGGTTGTACCTCAGTGGTTGAGCGCTTGCCTCGAGTGCGTGAGGCCCTGGGTTCAATCTTCAGCACCACATAAATAAATAAAGATATTGCGTCCATCTACAACTAAAAAAAAAAAAAAAAGAAAGAAAGGGGAAAAAAAGGTCCATACCTAGACACATCATAAAAAGAGAAAGAATTCTGAAAGCAAGGCAGAAATGACAAGGGAGGCTCAGCAAGCTACCAGAAACTACAGAAGCTGGAAGGTTGATATATTCAATAGAAAATGACTGTCAATGAGAAATTCCATATTTGTCCAAACTTCCAAAAATGAAGGAAATATGAAGATGTTCCCAGGTAAAATAAAATGAAGAAAGTTCACCTATAACTGACCTGTCTTGCATGAAGCACTGAATGGAGTTCTTCARGCTGAAATAAAAGAACCCTGGATAGTAATCCATATGAAGAAATAAAGAGCACCAGTAAAAACAAACATTGAAAAACAACATAAATGTATTTTTTGTTTGTAACTCCCTTTTGGTCCCTGATTTAAAAGACAACTTTACAATGCAATAATTATAAATCTAAAATGGACAAACAATGTATACAGATGTAATTTGTAACAATATCAGCAAAATGGAGAACAGAGCTATCTAGAAGCAAAGTTTTTGTGTTCAATTGACATAAATTGTTATTAATATGAACTAGACTGTTATAAACTAGCCATCAGTGGTAATTCCCTGAAAAGCATAGTTTTTTAAAAATGAAAGCTGGGTGAGGAGGTCCTATAGCCCAACTGACTGGAGGCTGAAGCAGGAGGATTAGGTTCAAGACCAGCCTGRGCAACTTAGCAAGCCCCTGTCTCAGAAAATAAAAAAGGCTGGGGATACAGCTCAGTGGTAGAGTACCCCTGATACTCTACCACTTCCCAGCACTGAAAAGAAAAACTGATAGATTAAAATAGTACAAAATAAGATGTTATAATAAATAATAAAAAAGGCAGAAATACAGGAAATAAGATAACTAAAGGAAATGCCAAATGGCAGAGATAAATCCTGCCTTATCTACAATTACATGTAAATACATTAAACAGATTAAAAGACTATATTTAAAGCATTTTCTCTCACACACACAATCCAAAAATAGTCTTCTAAATATGATCAGTCAAAAACATTACATGAAATTAAAACTACATTGAGATTTCATCTCACTTCAGTCAGAATGGCAATTATCAAACATGTAAGTAACAATAAATGTTGGCAAGGATGTGGGGGAAAGGTTCACTCATACATTGCTGGTGGGAATATACACTGCTCTGGAAAGTAGTATCAAAATTCCTAAGAAAATATGGAATGGAACTACCATTTGACCCAGTTATCCCACTCCTTGGTATATATCCAAAGGACTTAAAAATCAGCATACTATAGTGATGCTGTCACATCCATGTTTATAGCAGCTCAATTATAACAGCTAAACTATGAAACAAGCTTAGGTGTCCTTCAACAGATGAATGGATAAAGGAAACATGGTATAATAATATACAATGGAATATTACTTAGCCATAAAAAGAAATGAAATTATGGCATTTGCCAATAAACAGATGGAACTGGAGACTACCAGGCTAAGTGAAATAAGCCAGTCCCCAAAAAACCAAAGGCCAGAAATTCTCTCTGATATGTGGATGCTAAAGGGTGAAGGGTAGGGAAGCCTAGAAGTACTTTGGATCAGACAAAGGAGAATGAAGAGAAGGAAGGGGGAATGGGAATAGGAAAGATAGCAGAATGAATCAGATATTACTTTCTTATGTTTGGGTATGAGTACACAAGCAATGTAATTCCACATCATGTATAACAGAAAAACAGGAAGTTGTACTCCATGTATGTATACTTTTTTTTGTCATGTACAACTAAAAAGAACAAATTAAAAATCATTTAAAAAAACAAATATACAGTCTTCTAAAGAGACATGCTTTCGAGTCAAATGAAAGAGATTGAAACTTCAAAGAATGGAAAAATTACAATAAATATAATAACCAAAAGAAACTAGAAAGGACTACATTAATGTCAGAAAAGGACTTTAAGACAAAAGTTGTATACAAAAACGTGCCAGAGGCTGGGGTTGTGGCTCAGGGGTAGAGGCACTGGGTTTGATTCTTAGCACCACATATTAAATAAAATAAAGGTCCATCAACAACTAAATATATACATATGTATGTGTATATATGTATATATTGCAAGTTCAAAGCCAGCCTTAGCAAAAGCGAGGCACTAAGCAACTTAGTGAGACCCTGCCTCTACATAAAATCCAAAAAGGGCTGGGAATGTGGCTCAGTAGTTGAGTGCCCCTAAGTTCAATCCCTAGTACAAAAAAAAAAAATCTGTAAAGTTAAAAAGGTAAATCCATCAAAAAGACAGAATGATTATAAATGTGGATGTACTTAACAAAATAACCCAAAGATATGTAAACAAAACCTGAGAGAACTGAAGAGAGAAATGGATAATTCAACAATAATAATTGTAGAAGAGAGACCCTTTTCACCAAGATGGCGCCGAAAGCTAAGAAGGAAGCTCCTGCCCCTCC